ACACCACTGGGTCTTCCTCCCCGCCCGCAGCCAGCGCCCCTTGCTTCTCCAGCCCATGTGGGAGCAGAGGCTACTGCCTGGCCAGCAATGGGACCCATAGCTGCACCTGCAAAGTGAGCTACACAGGCAAGAGCTGCGAAAAAGGTAAAGGCCCTGAGCAGCGGCGCCAGGACACGGTGAGGGGCTCGACGCCAGCGTGCCCACCCTGCCCAGCGGCGGTCGTGTCTCCCGCTGCCAAGGGGCTCATGCTGGGGCAGGGCCACCCGTTCTCAAAGACCCGAAAGCTCAGCCGTCGGGGACCGGCAGCTCTCCTCAACGTGGGCAGAGCTCGGAGCTCGCCCAGGCCCCGTCGATTCGGAGGGCAGATGTCAGCAGGGCCTGATCGTGCTAGGTGCTGGGCAAGTCGTGGAGGTGCTGGGCTGAGCACGAGGGCTTTAGACGCAGGAACACTTGGGACAAATCCCTCTGGGCTCCTGGCAGCGCAAGTGCAGCGCGGGTCAGTCGGGCCGCGCGAGGAGCCGGCTGGGCACCCGCTTGCAGTGTGACGGCGATCCCTCCGATCGCTTCGGGAGCGGAGGCAAAGAAATCTGATTAAAGCCTCCAGCTGGGATTAAAAGCATCCCTGGGGGTCTCTAATCCGCTTTAACTGATCCCTGCGAGGAGTCAATCCGGAGAGATGTTGTCTGACGTGTCCCTGTGTAGACCAGGCCGTTCTCAGCTCGGCCGCACGCTGGCTGTCCCAGCTCGCCTTGGCTTTCCCTGGGCCCGTTTGGGGTGACAGGCTCTCCCGGAGCAGCCCCAGCTCTCCCCACGCCTGCGCAGCACCCAGCACGACAGGCTGATAGCGGCTGGCACCCGCAGGGTGCAACGAGGTGCAACGAGAGAGAGAAAGGGCCCTGTCCTTCGTCCCTGCTGCTCTGCATTTCGTGGCCGGGGTCTGTTCTCTAAAGATTCATGGCATTACCTCTCCCCTTTGCTTTTGCCCACACCCTGAAGAATTGCTGCCACCAACCTCATTAAAGGTGGAAAGGGTGGAGGACACTGGTGTGTTGATTTCTTGGCACCCGCCTGAGGACGCAGTCGCCAGGCAACTGATTGACGGCTACGCCGTGACGTACGTATCCTTCGACGGCTCTTACCGCAGGACAGATTTTGTGGACCGAAGTCGTTCTGCCCACCAATTGCGGGCACTAGCCTCCGGCAGAGCCTACAATATTTCTGTCTTTTCAGTCAAACGCAACGTGAACAACAAGAATGATATCAGCAGGCCGGTCATGCTCACCACGCGCACTAGTGAGTAGCGTCGTCAGGGGAATTCGGTTGTGAGTATGCACGCCCCTCGCAGGCACGTAGGCTCACGCCGGGGCGCCGCAGACCACGCCGCCGGCTCGCCCGGGGCCCC